TTTAGGGTTCAGGGCTTTAGGCTTTTAGGGTTTAGGTTTTAGGGTTGTAGGGTTCAGGGTTTAAGGTTTAGGGTTCAGGGTTTAGAAGGGGAGACTGGGTCATAGGGACTGCTTTCTGGGACCTTAAGGGACTATCATTCTCCCTACTGAGAACCAGGGGGGGCTCTCAGCCTGTGGCTGTAGGGTTTAGGGCTTCGGGATTTGTGTCTATTGTCAAGGGCTTTACTTGAGGGATCAAGGGGACGTAGTACGTTTCGAGGACTTGCATGAGGCGTTCTAGGTTACAACTGGCCATCTAATGCTGAGCTAACTTAAAACGTGCTTCATGAGGTGAAAATGAATTATACTGCTTCAGCTTTGTATGGCAGGGACAGACCTCCCCCAAAAGAGGCTAAAAGGGTTTAGGGCGTTTAGGGCGCTTCCCTAAACCCTAAACCCTAAACCCAAAACCCTAAACCCTAAACCGTGAAGGCTTACCTTGACTTAATTGGGGCTATGAAGAAGTAAAGGCTATGGATGCCTTCCTTATAAGCCCCACTTCTGGGCCCCAGTCCCCCAAGCAGGCCCACAACGTAAGCGCCAAAGGGAATATGAGGTGTAGGCTGTAGGAGTTGGGGCTTGGGTTTGGGGTTGAAGGCTTCAGGCTTTAGGGATTAGGGGTTTAGGGTCTAGGGTTTAGGGTTTTGGGTTTTAGGGTTTAGGGCTTTGGGGCTCTTAGGGTTTGGCTTCGCGCTTAGGATTTAGGGCTCGGGGTTTGAGGTGCAGGGCTTTGGATGTGGGTTTGGGTTTGAAGGTTTGGCTCAGACTAGGAGGTTGCAGCAACAGCCAACATGCAGCCTTGTTAAGTAGAACAGGGCTTTGGGCTCCTTTATAGCATGATTGTCCTGAGGAGCCCCAATAGCCTAAGGAATACCGTTGCTAGTTCTTTTAACTTCTATAGTGCCTTTTCTCACGTCTCAACCTTGAAACGTAAAACCCTCTACCCTCAACCCAAGAACGGAAGCCCCTGAACCCCAAAACCCCAAACCCTAAACCCTAAACCCCCCTCACCCCTACTCCCGATCCGGAGCCTCTTATAACTTATAACCCTAAACCCTAAACCCTAAAGCCTAAAGCCTATACTCCCGATCCGGAGCCTCTTATCCTCAGACCCGACAGCTTCGATGTCAGAATTGAGTCGGGCTTCAGGTTGGGCTATTCTTCTGAAGAGGGTTTAGGGTTTAGGGCTTTTAGGGTTTAGGGTTTAGGGTTGTAGGGTTTAGGGTTGTAGGGTTTAGGTTTTTTTTGTTTAGGGTTTTAGGGTTTAGGGTTTAGGGTTTAAGGTTTAGGGTTTACAAGACGCCCCAGGCCCTAAACCTTTTAGATGGGCTGACGCTATGGGGTTTACGCTTTTCTTGCCCGGGCTCAGTTTACAGCTTAGGGTTTAGGCGTGTAGGGTGTAGGGTGTTCAGCTTGCTGAAGCCAAAGCTTCCATGCAACTATACTCAGGGTTTAGGGTTTAGGGTCCTCTTGCGAAACCTCTCGTGCCCCTGCACTTTCACCCGGCGCACATTTTTTTTGTTCCGCCAGTCACAGCTGGGATCACGCTTCAGATTCCATACGCTGGTCCTCCACAGCTTGAGGTATTCGTTTGCGCCGCACAATCAACCCAACGTTGATACTCCCTAGACCATCCGGCAACCCTACCCTCAACTCTAACCCTCAACCCTAAACCCTCAACCCTAAATCCCAAACCCTAAGCCGTCAACGACCCGTCTGACTCAGCCAGCGCTGCTGGGTCTCAGGGTCACCGATGTTCCACTCCCGGCCCCCGAACTCTTCGAGGGGCACCTGATCCACAGGGTTTAGGGTTCAGGGTTTAGGGTTTAAGGGTTTAGGGTTTTGGGTTTTGGGTTTTGGGTTCAGGGTGAAGGGTTTAGGGTTCAGGGCTTTGGGGGCAGGGCTTTAGGGTTTGTGGTTTAGGGTTTGGTGTTCAGGGTTTTGGGTTCAGGGATTTAGGGGTTCGGCTTTCAGGGTGTAGGGTTGGGTATAGGGTTCAGGGCTCAGGTTTAGGTCTTCTACTTCTGCCAGGGCTGTACAGGGGTTTAGGGTTTAGGGTTTAGGGCTCAGGGTTCAGGGTTTAGGGTTTAACCCTTGTCAAGGGTTCGAAAGGTGGACGCCTTAAAGCAAGTGGTGGATCTCCAAACCCGAAACCCTAAACCCTAAACCGGATACTCGCTTAGAGGCATTTGGCTTTGGGGTTCGGGGCCTCGGGTTCATTGCTGAGGGATTTAGGGTTTAGGAATCAAGGCTCTAAAGATTCTAAAACGCGTAAACGCTAAACAACTAAACCCTAAACCCTAAACCCTAAGACCCTAAATGAATTAAAGGAAACCTACAGGCGGGCGGGGAGTTTAGGGTTTAGGGTATTTAGGGTTTGGGTATTTCGGGTTTAGGGTTTAGGGTTTAAGGGTTTAGGGTTTAGGGTTTAAGGAAACTATAGGCGGGGAGTTTGGGGCATATGGGGCTGCTATAAGGCCTTCTATAACCCAGAGAGCCCAATACCCCTTTTCACTAAGGAATATACGCCATAAATCATAATCATATGAAGGCCCCTTGAAATTTTAAGGCAAATTCCTTAATTAAGGAATAAGCCTTAAATCATAATACTATGAAGGCCCCTTGAATCTTCAGGTGCATTCCTCAATTAAGGGGTATTTCGGGTTCTCTGGGAAGGAGAAAAAAAGACCGGATCCGGGTCTTAGCATCCTGGGCCTCGGGGTGCGAGATCGAGCATGAAGGGCTTCTGGTTTCGGGTTTAGGGTTTAGAGTTTAGGGTTTAGGGTTCAGGGTTTAGGGTTTTGGGTTTAGGGTTTAGGGTTTAGGGCTTCTCATAGCTAGAAATGGCTTTCGGGGATCTTTGATACGGTGGATGAGATAGATCCTGCATCACCCATGCTGAGGAGTATACCATAATTCTCATAGTTTAGGGTCCTTAAGGTAATGCAGGATTGATATCATCAACAGTAATTGCAGGGATAGTAGCTTGGTTTGCACGTGTGCGCACGTCTTTTGTGCATTACTTGTGCCAGCTAGGGGCTAGTGTGCAGTCACAGAGATATGTGACAAAACGTGACACTGTCAAGCGATGACCGTAGAATAATATAGGAACCTGATTAAGAAACCCTGGGTCTTTGTTAGGGTTCTTCATATGAACCCTTATATATTTTGGGGTTATAGGGCTACATTACCCGCCTGAAAGCAGCAAGACTGACGCCTACAAGTCACCCAAGGCTACCCCACTCAGAGAGCCTGGAACCCTGCATGTAGGGCATTCTGGCTCAAGTTCGGCTCAGGGTTTAGGGTTTAGGGGTTTAGGGGTTTAGGGGTTTAGGGATTGAGGGTTTAGGGTTGAAGTAGCTCTTTAATGTCGTGATGAAATTCGCCGAAAATCATCATGACATGAAGTGGCCGAGACCCTAATCTAATTCGTAAGGCTCTCATGTCCAAAGACGTGGGGCATTTGAACGGGATATTGCTCAGCAAAGTTGCGCTCTGTTTTTTTCCGCAAGATCCGCATCTCTCGGGAAGACATCTACGACTGCTCCGACAAGCGATGAATCAGGTCTCAATAACGAAGTCTGAATGTCACGGAACCGTACTCTTGGTATTCACCTCGTTGCCACCGCCGCCATGTGTCAGGACATACCCATCCGTCCTCAAACCACTCCACCTGACATTCTCGACATCTGCAAACCTTCGTGTTGATTCTGCAATAATTAAGGCCAGACAAGCAGCTGGACAGAGATGCTGAGATGGTCAACGTCAAAGACGTGCAGCCCTTGAACGCACCCATTCCAACGTTCTGCACCGTGTCGGGTATGATCAAAGATCTTAGAGACTTACAATTGCTGAAAGCAGCATGTTCGATGGTGATGACGGAAGCTGGTATGACCGCGCTGATCAAAGAGTGACAATCTCGAAAAGCGCTGTTCCCGATGACGGTCACGGAGTCTGGGATGATCACCCGTACCAGGGAGCTGCACTTCTGGAAGGCCCCAGGCCGAATTTTTCTCACTCCCGGAGGAATGTGCACAAAAATCAGCGAACGAGAATCGCAACCTGCCTCGTCTTTATGTGCGCAGGTCACTCGCGGCACATGACGAAAGACGACTTGAACTTCTGCCCCCGGAAGGATGCCCACCTCGTCGACCCTCTCCATGTCATCCGGGTACCTGTCCCCGACGACCAAGTCAACCGGGGTGAGTCTGCGCATGACTTCATCCTCACATGGGTTCCACCGTTGCATCTCGCTCTTGAGCTCCGCAATCTTCATGTCTGGCGCAACTTCCATCTCGGTCAATGCCGCTCCACTCAGAAGCTGCATCGAGATCCTCCGCGCCATCGCTTGCAGAACTTTGAAAAGAAAGCGGCGAGAGGATCCCCGAAAAAAAGCAGCACGTACAAAACGAGTGAGCACATATATTCACATAGCCTGTCGGAGATCGATGCGTCTTTACACGCATGTGTGTGCATCTACAGAAATTCAAGTTATGGACCCGGCACTTAGATCCGTCAAGAACGTGCCATTTCCTCACAGGCTCTTTCTCAGCTCACTCTCGAGACGCATCGCGGCTGACGAATACAAGGGTCTTAACAATTGGAACAGGGGTTTGGGTTATGTTATTGTATAAACCTATGTCAAGGAACCCTGCAGAAGAATAATTGCAAGTACTCAAGATTCTATGCTACTCTGTTCTCCTGGCCATACACAGTTTGGACCTCGAAAGATCCCCCCAAATACCAGGCCCATGCAGAATTGCATCCTGGCACCCCAAAAACCCTAAACCCAACAAATCCTAAGACCCGCGAGTTCCGCAAATCCTAGAACGAGAACCCGCTACTAGTACTCTCTTCTTCAACAACCAGGCCCAAAAAAATTCAAACTTTTTTGGATAGACCTAATATATAAGGCCAAAAAGTTTAAAGTTCTCCCATTGGCTATCTTAGAGTATCTTGCCAGGCGGTACGATGAAGCCTCGGACCCCACTCAGACCTGGTGATCCTAGTCATTTCAAGTATTTAGTTCAAGAGATGTTCTCCCATACTCTTCATGATATAAATCCTGCATTACCTTAAAGACCCTAAGCTATGGGAATTCTGGTATATTCCTTGTTATGGGTAATGCAGGATTCATATCATCAACCGTACCCCTAAGCTTAGGAATCTAGCTTCCAAACATAAGTAATGTGGATCCTCGTATCTTTTGAGGTTCTGTCCGTAATTAGAGAGTTTTAGGCTCGCTTGGTTCTTCCACGTTCTACGTTCTGAAAGAAGTTGGCTAGGGCGTCAGTTAGGGGTTTAGGGTTTAGGGTTTAGGGGTACATATGGACTCCCCTGTAAGGTCTTTCATTGTTGGGGGGCTTCACTAGCGTCAGTTTCCTGTCAAAAACAGCCCACTTCCCGATGTGCTGCGAGGCACACGCGAGGAAACACCCGACAGTAGATCGCGAAAGCCTGGAGGAACCTTGAAGCCACTGAACCTGTCTCAATCCTCACCCTTAAAACCCAAGCCCTAAAACTCCCTAAACCTCAAAGCCCTGACTTACAGGCTCAGGTGAGTTCGTACACAAGTCAAACAGGTTATGATGCAGGGTGAAAATTAGGACGACTCCAATATATCCTACTTACTATGTCGTCTAATCCTAAAAACACGACTACATCTGGGCAAAACCTCGCAAAAAAACTCTTATGCAACACTGTAAACCCTTAGAAAGCTCTCTAGGAAAAAACTTACAAAAGCCGTTTTCAAGCCCGGCAACAAACCCCAAGCCCTCAAATAAAGGCCTCATTCAGCAGCCATGCCAGGAAAGATGCCACGTTCTCCGGGGTGTCCAAGCCTTCCGGCGCAAGGGTGTACTCCAAACAACGGTACCCGTAAGAATTAAAGCGGTGTCTGCAGGGGTTCTACATTCTATAGCAAGTTTTTTTAGGTTGCAATAGAGGGACCTTAACGTTTATTCATGAATGGGGTGTACCCGAAACCCTAAACCCTAAACCGAATTTTTCCTATGGTCTAATTCCGTTTAGTTATGTAGGGACCATGATGCAGAAAACGAGCGACTCCGAGAGAAATCCCTAAGTTCAAGAAACCTTAGGGTTTAGGGTTTAGGGCTAAGGGTTTAGGGTTTACGGTTTAGGGTTTAGGGGTTAGGTATTAGGGTTTAGGGTTTAGGGCTTAGGGTTTAGGGTTTAGGGTTTAGGCACATTCGG